GAAGAATTCATATTTATACGATACATATATAAACATATGTGTATATGAGTATTGGGACAATTCGTTGTCTCCCATGCCTTTATAACTACCTTCTTAATATGTTTATATACATTTTGCGATTATGAGTAGACACCTATATACCACATATAGGAAATATTTTTAAGTGTAGAATGGTGTAGTTAGCTCATATCTTGTGCCTCTGTGTGTATGCGTTGGTGTTTATGGAAGGGTATCAAACGAACTGTGATTGCTCCAATTAATTAGTGCAGATTGTAAAAGCTCACTATGGTCATCAAGATTTAGCAACTAACGCTGAATTGTGTAGGTCTCAGAATGTCAATGAAGTTGGCCTTTTGTGATGCTTACTCATATCACCCTTGGGAAAACTCCTTTATCCATTCTTTAATCGCTTTAAGGAAATAACTAATACTTTTGAAACGTACTCCGGAAAAAAACAACCGAATAAAGAATATTCATCGCCTCATCCTCAACTTTAGTTTAATTGTCACATGACATGAACTAACTGACTTCTTCTTTACTTCATTAACTAACAGCTACTTCATCGTCTTCTAATGGGCTCGACTCATTAGACTAGCCTCGTCGAATATCTTCACTAAAAATGCAGGCAGATAAATACTTTGAGACCAACAGCCTACTCAAAAAAATCTTTTTTGGTACTCATCTTTAGAGCAGATAATGCTGTACTGGATAGAATAAGCCCAACCCCTCACGCGAACTCGTCCTCCTCATTCTAGTGAGCTTGCATGGCCACAAAGTCCTGTTAAGCACTTTTTGGTGCTAATTAGCCTTAGAACTAATTCAAGCTAAACATATAGACTCACCGGCTGGGTTGAAACTTATTAGAAGGTATAAATATATGCATGCGCATATCTCGTTTTTGTGATTGACTGTAATCTCCCATACCCTTTAACTACCTTTTGACAAGTTTCAATACATTTTGCAACTATGAGTAGCCCACACTGATCCCCCAGCAACCTATGACAAAGTGGCAGAAGCGGTGGCGCTTTAAGAATGTGTTTCATTGGTGATCCACGGCGTAGGAGCATCACTGCCTCAATCATTCCTAAAATAAGTGCTCCTTTGTTCTCCCATGAAATTCGTCTATAAGCAGAAGAGTTATTAAACCTTAATGAACAAAGTCACGTATGATACAATATCCTAGGCTGTGGAGGGATTAGGTCATGTCACTCGCCTTTGAGTGTGTGTGCGTTCGTGAGCGCGTTGATGCGCCTGTAGCGGTACGCACCAACCGTGATGGTACCAAGTGATTAGAGAAGGTCGTAACAGCTGACTTTGATGATCAAGGTTTGATAAGCCTTTTGCTTACAATCTCGCCGATTGCGTAATGCCAGATATTCGTCCGGTCGAGGTGCCGAGCTTTCTCTGTTTTGATATGAGTTTGGCAGCGAGTTTACTCGTTGCTGTCAGGAATGTGGCTCTTCTCAAGATGGACATGATTAAATTGCCTTTTGGAAATTCTCAAACGAGGAATTAATGTTTGATGAAATGTAAATTAAAATTGCCTCTTCTTTTTGGCAAAAAGTACTGTCTAACCCAAAGTTATTGGTACCGAATCACTCAGTCATCAAGAGGCCAAAGCCTCGACAACCTAATCGCCGAGTATGTGATCATGTGCTAAGCAGAGTCAGGAAGCCACTGCCGCCGCATGAACGAATCCTTTTCCATTTTTCCCAGAGCGAAAGTGGCGACTAGGGATTGTAGGCAAAAAAAACAGTTTCTCCCAAAATTCCTTCCCAACATGAAGACTTAGACTCTCCAGCCCTAAGGTTGACCCACCTCATAGAAAAGTTGGCACACAACACAGTCACAGCGTCACAGATGTCGGCCTGGAGAAAGGACAAAATGTAAACTCGGCTGAACTAACGTGTGGAGGATTATTTGACCATTCTTTAGATGCTTTGATTTCACATAGCCTAAACTTGTATAAGGGGAAGATGCGGAATTTATTTTTTCAACATTATGCATAGGGATCACTTTATTAAAAAGGACTTGCAGACTGATTTACCTGGCGTTCACTGGGACAAAAACAATCAAATCTCTTACGTTAAAGTCATATCTATAGACAACTAATGACCATGTACCAGAAGCAGATGCACTCCAGCAATGTGTTTGATTGAAGATTTGAGGTTTAGGAACATCACTACCTCACAAATTTGTAGGGAAATCCTTCTCTGATTTCTTTTTATATATATACTCCCACACTCATTTACAGGTTTCAATGTTGGTTTAGTATCATTAAACACACACATGGGCATACAAGAACGAATGTTTCTATCTGAGTAGTCGATTGGTATAGCAGATAAACGTTTGCTTCATCAACAATCCCACCAAAGAATATGATATGGCAAAAGGCCTTGCCTTCCTTGAAATGCATATATGCCCCCTGACCCAAGGGCACTCGTGGCAGTGTGATTAACGTATCAAGCTCCCATTCTGCACTGTCGCGGTTCGAATCCCGCTGAGGGTGTTGATAAGACCAATGCGGGGTCGTAGCTGCAGTCCACCCTGAATGAGAACAACTTTTGGGAAATCAAGGCTATGTGAAATTCAATGGAAACGTCAG